AGTTTTGCATCATTTACCCAGTTTTAAAATGGCACCGAGATGAACCATAAACTTAGATGGGGAGGGTCACATCCCTCGGGACCCTCGGCTTTTCCCGCAGAGCATTTTAGGGGTTGTGGAGGGGGAGCACAGGGGGTCACGTCCCTTCTCGAGGGGGCTGCCTCCAGCCGAGGCCGAGCGCGGTGCCTACCGGCCTGGGCCGCCATCATGAGCGCCGTGTTCCCGTCCTTGTCCTGCTGGTTGATGTTTATGTAGGGGCACTTCTGCAGCAGGGGCACGATGTCCACGAAGCCCTTGTAGCAGGCGACCATCAGCCCATTCTGGAGACGGGACGGCACTGAGGACAGGGGCCGATGCTGCGCCGTCCTCCTCACCACGGTGCTCCCCATCCTCCCCCCCCAGCCCCCAAACCAGACAGGCTCAGGATGGGAGGACAGATGAGGTTCTGCTCCAAGGATTGGATCCGTCCCAGGAGACCCATCCCTTGTCAAAGCCATCCCACCCAGGACCCTCCCTCCTCCTCCACCTGCTTTAGCATCCTTCAGGATTCACCTGATCCCAGGAAATCCTCCACAGGGTGCCCACCCAGCCGCTCACCCTCCCGTTGGCATCCAGCTCCATGGCCTCACTCTGGGTCACCCCGTGCTCCAGCCTCTCCCACACCAGCTTGGCATCGTTCCTGGCGCAGCACTGGTAGAGGCTGGGGTCCCCAGCACCACCAGCCCCCAGGGAGGGCTCGTAACAAGGGTAGACGGAGTCGTCAGAGAAGATGCTGCTGGTGTCTGAGGGCTCCAACTCATCCTCCTCCTCATCCTCCTCCTCGTAGTGCATCTCCGGGTCGGAGGCATCCAGGCTGGGGGCAGGGGCTGCAGCATGTTCTCCTCCACCGCAGGCATCTGTCATCCGGCCTGGCCGGGGCGAGCGAGCCCAGCTTGGCCCCAAGCCCTGCCTGGGGGCCAGGAGCCTCTCCCGGGGGGACGAGGGGGCACTCCGGACCGTTCACTCCCTCCTGTGCAGACACAGAGTGGGCGTGGGAACCGTGTGGGCTCCGGCATCCCTCACCCTGGGAAGCCGGCCCGCCGGTGCAGCCCCCGGGTCCAGTTTCCATCCTCTGCCCCGTGCAAGCGCTTGCTCCAGGGCTTGGATGCTGCAGAACCCCAGGTGGGGAGCAGCTCCCCACGGCACTGTCTCCAGCACAGAGTGGGGAAACCAGGGGGACATTTGGGGAGTTTGAAGAGAGGATAAATGTCCTGTGGACTAGGATCTGAAACCAGGCAGGTGGGGAGGCTGGGAATGTCTCCAGGGTGGTGGGGATGCACATCTCCATCCCTCCCCACGCCCCAGGGTCTCAGCCCTTCCCACCCTGCCCTCCCCACTTAACTGGTGCACATCAAAGCAGCTGCAAAGACCTTTCCTAGCAGCAGAACCAGAGCAGCGTACAGAGAGAAGGGGTAAATCTGGCTCCTCACCACCAGCAGCAGCAGAGCAGAGGCTGGGGCAGCTCCCAGCTCCCCAAGGAGCCCCCTAAACCGCACGACACAGGGAAACCCTCAGCCCTGATACAGGAGCCCTGGGGCAGGGATGGGCCAGCTCAGCCTGGCAGCAGAAATTAAACCATTTTGCTTCTAAGTAGAAGCCAACCATTAATTGATCGGTGCTGGGAAAGGAAGAAAGCCTTTGCAATGCCATTAAACTCTCCCACCCCTCTTCAAAATCCCAAAGCAGGCTCCAGAGATGAGGGATGCTCTTCTGCTGCCCCCCCGATCTTACCTGGGGCTGCTCAGACGTCCCCCGCAGGTCCCTCTTCACCTGGGCAGCATCCCAGCTCAAACCGGGAGGTTGAGCTTCCCAAGAGACGGCAGGGAATCACCCCTACCCTTCGCAGCAAGGAAGGGGCGCCTGCTCTGGGTCCAAGGCGGCCTTTGGGCACCAAAGACGTAACAACCTGCACGTTGATGTGGGCTCAGCTCACCGAGGTGTCTTAAATTAAACCGTTGCTTAAAATGGCTCCATCCATCCTGAGCAGGATCAGGGCTGCTTGGGCAGGATTTAGTATCCTTAGCTGAGGAGCTGCCAGGCACCCAGAGCTGTATTTTTATACCTGTCTCCCCCTTCCAGCTCCCTTTATATGCAGCTGAATTTGCTGATCGGATGAACCTGGGGAGCTGCTGCTCCGGCCAAGGGCACAGGTATCCGTAATCATGCAGGTGCATTAAACAAACTCTGCAACCCCCCCGCGAGAGGGGCCTGGGAGCCCCCAGCCCACCTCCTCCTCGGGGCACGGCCGTGCCAAAGCCTCAGGGCACCAGCGAGCTCGGGGCCGCCTTCGCGAGGAGCTGCAAAAACGGGGCTCCTGCATTCCGCCCGGCTGCTCCCTCATCTTCAACTTCAAAAGGGCTTTTTTGGTTGGTTGTTTTTTACATGTTTCCTGCGGTACGGGGGCCAGCTGGCCCGTGGGATCTGGGAAAGGGCACGTTCAGTCTCCAGATCAGCTATTTTCATGGCAAAAAGGCCTGAGTTTGGTCCCAAAGCAGACCGTGGGAGGCCACGCTCTCCGTTTAAAGCAGAGTCCCCAAGGTCACTCAGCTTGCGTCCTTAAATATGAAAATAGGGAGCAGATGAAAGATCCCGGCTGTTTCCTCTGTGCTGGGCGCATCCTGCCGGGAAGCGCGAGCTGAGGATCCTGATGCTGAACAGGATCCTGAATGCTGCGGAGCCGGCGCTGGGCTCTGCACCTGCAGCGTTCCCCCAACCCTGGTGTCACCGCGGCCACGTGCACCCCTGCCAAGGACCAGGACCTGCTCCGAGCCCTTCAGCACTGCGCGTAGCCCGGCTGCCAGCCCGCTCCCGGGGTGCTCTGCCTGGGAATGTCCCCAAAGCTGGCGAATGCCTCAGGGGGCCTCCGTGGTGCCGGATCCCCTATTGCAGCCCGAGACCCAACCCTCGCCCCTTGCTTTGGGGCTGAGCCCTCTGCTCCTGCTGCATCAGCGGGATGGCGTGGCCAGCGCAGTGTCACCCCGGTGTGACAGCGGGATGGCGTGGCCAGTGCAGTGTCACCCCGGTGTGACACCTCCTGCCCCGTAGCCACCCTGCTGCCTTATCTTGGGCGAGGA